CTTCTCCTCAGGGTTGCCTTCTCAGCTCTGTTAAGTCTGTACCTGCTGCTTTGGGGGGTGGGGGGGGGGGGCTCGGGGCAGGGCGCAGGCCCTCTGGTGGCCATGGGGCAACTAGACCCAGGCTCCTGAGTCCTCTCCCACGGCTGCTTTCCCTGCTCCCACAGGCCCTGAGCACTCCTGCTAGAAAAAGCAAAGAAGCAGGTACAGACTTAACAGAGCTGAGAAGGCAACCCTGAGGAGAAGGATGCGTGAGATGTGTGCACCTGGGCAAAGACTGGTCCCTTTATGGGGTTCAGCCTGGCTCTTCCCAGGGGCTGGAGGCCCTGAGGCCATATTTGCTATCTGCATCCTGGAGCATTGCTCCACTCAGATGGGTAGGACATACTTAGGAGGGTGTGTTCAGCATTTTGCAGAATCCCGGGCCTCCAGGTCTTGCGCCTCCCAAGGGACCACCCCTGAGCCTCTCCTGTCCCCAAATTGATCTGGGGCTGGGAGGCCAGTGGGACACGTCACAGCAGGACAGAAAATAGGGTAGAGAAAACTGGGTTTCTGGACCTAAGGAAGGTGGAATTTCAGACTCTGGAGGCAGCATGGTTTGTATTTGCTCATCACCCACCCTTCTAGAGATTTGCTCTGACAATTAACACTAACGACCACCACTACTTATTGGGTTCTTAAATGTGTCAGGCATTAAGGTACCTGCTGTACCTACTTTCCTCCTTAACCCCTACCACCCTATAAGGTAGGTCTGTCAAATTCACAAAATACACAGAAAAGAAGACAAGGAAAGAATCCTGAAAGCAGCAAAGGAAAAAAAGTCCTTAACCTAAAAGGGAAGACAGATCAGGTTCACAGCAGATCTGTCCACAGAAACTTGACAGGCCAGAAGAAAGTGGCAGGACATATCAATGTGCTGAATGGGGAAAATATGCAGCCAAGAATACCTGATCCAGCAAGGTTGTCATTCAGAATAGAAGAAGAGATAAAGAGTTCCCCAGACGAACAAAAACTACAGGAGTTCATGACCACTAAACCAGCCTTGCAAGAAATATTAAAGGGGACTCTTTGACTGGGGGGATAAAGACCAAAAGCAACAAAGATAAGAAAGGAACAGAGAAAATCACCAGAAACACTAACTTTACAGGTAATACAGTAGCACTAAATTCCTATCTAGCAATAATCACTCTGAATGTAAATGGACTAAATGCTCCAATCGAAACACATAAGGTATCAGAATGGATGAAAAAAAAAAAAAACAAGACCCATCTATATGCTGCCTACAAGAGACTCATTTTAGACCTACAGACACCTGCAGATTGAAAGTGAGGGGAGGAGAACCATCTATCATGCTAAAGGACAACCAAAAGAAAGCCAGAGTAGCCATACTTATATCAGACAAACTAGACTTAAACCGAAGACTGTAACAAGAGATAAAGAAGGGCATTATATCAAAATTAAGAGATCTATCAAGAATATCTAACAATTGTAAATATTTATGCCCCCAACTTGGGAGCACCCAAATATATAAATTAATTAATAGCAAACACAAAGAAACTCGTTGATAATAATACAATAATAGTAAGGGACTTTAATACCCCACTTACAGCAATGGACAGATCATCTAAGCAGAAAATCAACAAGGAAACGATGGCTTGGAATGACACACTGGACGAGATAGACTTAACAGATATATTCAGAACATTTTCTCCTAAAACAGCAGAATACACATTATTTTTTTCTAAGATTTTATTTATTTATTTGAGAGAGAGAGAATGAGAGACAGAGAGCACAAGAGGGAAGAGGGTCAGACTCCCCGCTGAGCAGGAAGCCCGATGTGGGACTCGATCCCGGGACTCCAGGATCATGACCTGAGCCAAAGGCTCAGGTTAACCAACTGAACCACCCAGGCGCCCCACATTATTTTTGAGTGCACATGGAACATGCTCCAGAATAGATCATATATTGGATCACAAATCAGCCCCCAACAAGTACAAAAAGATTGAGATCATACCATGCATATTTTCAGACCAGAATGTTTTGAAACTTGAAGTCAAACACAAGAAAAATTTTGAAAAGACCACCAATGCATGGAAATTAAAGAACATCCTACTAAAGAATGAATGAGTTAACCAGGAAATTAAAGAAGAAATTTTTAAAAATACATGGAAGCAAATGAAAATGAAAACACGACAGTCCAAAACCTTTGGGAAGCAGAAAAGGCAGTCTTAAGAGGAAAGTATAGAGAAACACAGGCCTACCTCAAGAAACAAGAAAAGTCTCAAATACACAGCCTAAACTTACACCGAAAGGAACTAGAAAAAGAACAGCAAATAAAGCCTAAAGCCAGCACAAGAAGGGAAATAATAAAGATTAGAGCAAAAATAAACAATATAGAAACAAACAAGCAAAAACAAACAGAAAAAAAAAAAACACAGCAGAACAGATCAGTGAAACTAAGAGCTGGTTCTTTGAAAGAATTAATAAAATTGATAAACCCCTAGCCAGATTTGGGACGCCTGAGTGGCTCAGTTGGTTAATTGTTTGCCTTCGGCTCAGGTCATGATTCCAGGGTCTTGGGATTGAGTCCCACATCGGACTCCCTGGGAGCCTGTTTCTCCCTCTGCCTGCCTCTTCCCCTGCTTGCATGCTCTCTCTCTGACAAATAAATAAATAAAAATCGTAAAAAAAAAAAAAAAACTAGTCAGACGTATCAAAAAGAAAAGAGAAAGGACCCAAATAAATAAAATCATGAATGAAAAAGATCACAACCAACACCACAGAAATACAAACAATTATAAGAAAATATTATGAAAAATTATATGCCACGGTGCCTGGGTGGCTCAGTCAATTAAGCATCTGCCTTCAGCTCAGGTCATGATCCCAGGGTCCTGGGATCGAGCCCCAAATCAATCAGGGGCCCTGATCACTGGGGAGCCTACTTCGCCTTCTCCCTCTGCCTGCCGCTCCGCTTGCTTGTTCTCTCTCTCTCTGATAAATAAAATCTTAAAAAAAATCATGTGCCAACCAACTGGGCAATCTGGAAGAAATGGACAAATTCCTAGAAGCATACAAACCACCAAAACTGATATAGGAAGAAATAGAAAATTTGAACAAACCGATAACCAGCAAAGAAATTGAATCAGTAATCAAAAAATGTCCCAACAAACAAAAGTCCAGGGCCAGATGGCTTCCCAGGGGAATTCTACCAGATATTTAAAGAAGAGTTAATACCTATTCTCAAACTGTTCCAAAAAATTGAAATGGAAGAAAAACCTCCAAACTCATTCTACAAGACCAGCATTACCTTGTTTCCAAAACCAGACAAAGACCCCACTAAAAAGGAGAATTACAAGCCAATATCCCTAATGAACATGGATGCAAAAATTTTCAACAACATACTAGCAATTTAATTCCAACAGTATATTAAAAAGACTTATTCACCACGATTTATTCCTGGGCTACAGGGGGTGGTTCAATATTCACAAATCAATCAACGTGATATACCACATTAATAAAAGAAAGGATTGGGGCACCCGGGTGGCTCAGTCAGTTAAGCATCTGCCTTCAGCTCAGGTCATGATCCCAGGGTCCTGGGATGGAGCCCCACATGAGGCTCCCTGCTCAGCAGGGAGTCTGCTTCTCCCTCTGCCCCTCCCCACTGCTTGTGTTCTCTCTCTCTCTCTCAAATACAT